CATTCCATTCCATTCCATTCCATTCCATTCCATTCCATTCCATTCCATTCCATTCCATTCTATTAATTTCCATTTCTATTCTATTCCATTCCATTCCATTCCATTCCATTCCATTAATTTCCATTTCCATTTCCATTTCCATTTCCATTTCCATTCTATTCTATTCTATTCTATTCTATTCATTTCCATTTCTATTCCATTCCATTCCATTCATTTCCATTTCCATTCTATTCTATTTTCTATTCCACGATTCCCTGACCCCCTTTTTTATTTTATTTTCCCTGCCATGCAGCTCCTGAGCTTCCCAGAGCCCAGACAGTTCCCATTAAACTTCTCCCCCCGGCTGAGTTTCTGAGCTCCCAGGAGACACCCGGGGCTGAGTCAGGGAGTCAACTCTGCCATAAAACCTCGGCCAGAAACTCCCTGACCTCCATCCCAAAGCCTCTGCCACGTTTGGATCCCAATTTTCGGACTGTGCAGCCTGTTCCTGAGCCTCCCTGGGCTGCTGGTCAAGACTCCTCTCCTAATTCCCTGCCTGAATTTATTCCCAGCTCCCTGGTTGCCTCCCTAGAAGCCCACTGGGCACAGCAGGAGCCCTTCCCAGTTGCCCATCACATCAAAGGGCCTCATTCCCAGTTGCCTCATCCCCTCCCTGCGGCTCAGGAATGAACTTGTTGGATTTTAGCCTCTCATCTCCTTTTTGGAAAGCAGAGCAGCCCGGGGGTCCCTCTGGCCTTGTGTCCTCTTGGTGCCACGGAGGGGGGGGGCGGTGCTCAGGGAACCTCCTGGTTTGAAATATTGATTTAAAATTGATTTATATGAAAATTTAGTCGGACTAAATTGGCTCTGTGCTGTGGAATAAGTGGGTTCAGGTCCTAATTTCGAATTTCTGGGTGAATTTTCTTTTGTTGTTTCTGGCAGGGCTGAAAAAACCTTGGAACTCCTGAGCTCAGAAAACAGCTGAAGAACAGCAGGATTTCCCATTTCAGGTGTGGCCAGCAGCTGATAAAATAGAAAATGCCCAAGAATGGGGAGTTTTCTCCTCTAAAGGTCGGGAAAAACCCCCTGTTTCTGCAGCTGGGCAGTTGTGGAGCTGTGAGAAATGTCCCCCAGGTGCAGCACAGACCCTTCTCTCCGGGATTTTGGGCTCCTGGGGGTGTGTTTGGAGCTCTCTGACCCCCAGATCTGCCCCACCCTCTTTGCACAGGTTCAGTGCTTCCCTGCTGGGTTGGGGGAGTTCCATTCCGGCGAATCTGTGGAATATTCTTAATTAATAATTGCCAAAAGAGGGCTCCCCGTGGGACCAGGACTCGGTGATGGCGATTTCAGGCTCCTCCACTGGCCAACAGAATTAATGGAGAATAAATTTCGGGAGCTGAAGGCTGCAGGGATTAAACTCCTCCTTTCTTTTCCAGCTTTCTGCACCCGTGTAAAGCCTGGATTAGTGGGATAATCTCGGGTTTACCTGTTCCATCCTGGTGACACTGGTGGCATCACACAAGGTGATTACAGGAAGAGAATCAGGCCCAGAGGACTTGGAGATTATCCCAACATGCCCCGAATTATAATCCTAAAAGTGCTTTGCTCCCTGAGTTACTGGGGAAAGAGGAGTTTTTAAAAGCTGAGTGTGGTGAGAGAACGAATTCCTCAGGGAGATAAAGGAAGGGGCAAAGCCCAGAGCAGCAGGGGAGGTTTTTGGGGCCTGGCACAGACCAAGGACTGACCCGACCTTGGTGTCCTCAGAAGGGTTTGGGCTGGAAACCAAACCTGACCCAGTTCAGGGCTGGCAAAGGGATCAACTGGCAGGTTCTGAGTCATGGAAGGGACCCGGAGCAGGTGAACATCCAGCACAGAGGAAGCCTGGCAGGGGCAATCCCTGCTTTTCAAGGGAAGGACTTATCCTGGATCTGCTCCTTTCCACGGGTTCCATCAGCTCCATGGGCTGCAGTGAGTTAGTTCTTAAAATAATAACAATCCTCCACTCTCAGGTTTGCTTCGTTCTGACCCCTGCCCGGGGACGAATCCAAGGCAAACCTGGGCTCCCGGGATGGAGTTAATGGCTCTGGGTGCTGGGCAGGGAGAAAGTGGTGTTGAAACCGCTCAGCTCCTGCATTTGAAAAGTCACCAGGGCTCTAATGACCCCACCGCCGGATTTTCTGCAGAGACTGACCTCCACTAAGCCTGGGAGCAACCAGAACAAAGAGCTCCGCGGGGCTGCTAATTGCAGAAAACAAGAGTTCGTTAAGTAATAAAACCCTTTCAGGATGAAGCAAGAAGGAGTCCGAGCGGGGAGCGTTTCATTCTCCTGCGTGGCAGAGTCGCTGTTTTGCCTTGGGTGCTGTGAAATCATCGAAATCGTGGATTTGCTGCTCGCCGGGCTAATAACACGTGAAGTTTTATTGTCTGCAGCTCGTTCGCAGCTCTCTAATTACACGTCTGATGGGCTGAAGGTGGGAGCTCCGCTCGTTCTCTCACGTTTCCTTTGTTCCTCCCCTCCCTGCCCCGCAGGGATGGACTGAAGTGAGTCCCTGGAACACCAAGTGCAGCCCGGCTGCTCTTGAAATCTGTGTTTTCCATGCCCAGAATCAGAGACCTGTGCAGTGGCTGGGGCTGGAAGGGACCTTAGAGACCATCAAGCCCAAGGGTAGGGACACCTTCCAGTAGATTCCAAGCCCTGTCCAAGCTGCCCCTCATCCCCGGTCCATCCCCTGCAGCACTGACAGACCCTGGGGGTCCCCTCTCAGAGCCTCTGCTCAAGGCTGAACAGCGCCAGCTCCTCATCCCCTGTGCCAGAGATGCTCCAGTGCCTTCATCATCCTCGTCCCCCTGCCCTTGACCCGCTCCGGGAGCTCCGAGTCCCTCCCGAGTCCCTCCCGTGCCCCTCCCGTGCCCCTCCCGTGCCCAGCAGCCCGAGCCAGGCACTCTCTCCCCATCCGAGGGGCAGGATCGGCTCCTGCCCTGCCGACAAAGCTCGTCCTGATCCCCCCCAGGACCCCCAGGACACACTGTCAGGGACACCTCGGGGTCCCCCAGGGTCCTCTCCAGCGGGTTACCCCCACCCTGGGGTGCCCGGGGTGACTCTGCCAAGGGGATAGGGAGATGAGGAGCCCTCAGACATCATGGTCATCCTGACATCCCCATCCCCATCCCCATCCCCATCCCCATCCTGCCATCCCCATCCCCATCCCCATCCCCATCCCCATCCC